AGTTTGAAATTGTCTCCAAAGTCGTGAAACGATGCTGTGAGCAATTCCGAACTCTGCAGCCACACTTGTCACACTGCGGCCTTCCTCCAACTTCCCAATGATTCGACCTCAGGTAAAAGCATCCAGCTGTCGTCTAACAGATTGATTATTCGCCATTTCTCGCTGAGGCAGCAACTCGGTGTGATTTTAACTGCTATACCGCATGCAATCTCTTTGCCAGAAATACTGATCTTACACCGACAACATGCTTTATACTACTCAGACACTCCCCCATTACGTCTACCTGCATATCTGCGCATGTGCTACCGTACATCACCTTACTTAATCTCCTGATTTGTCTTTCTGTCCACTCTGCCTCTTCGTTCAGCTGATATGCTAATTTTTCGACTTCGTCCTTAATTTTTGCACACCAGTGTATGTTATTTGTAAGTATATTGTTATCAAGTATATTAATCTTCTAAAACAAGGCCGGATGTCTCATAATATTGCTTCAGACCGGCATGATTTAAAACACTTTCTTCTCCTCCTTGACTTTTCCCTAATGAAAAAAGTCTTTAGAGTGGTCATCTGTCGCCCCTCTCATGGATGCAGTAAAATTTATGTTTGTCAGACACTGTTCAAAGTCTAGAGTGGGTTGCCATATTTGCAAATTTTTCGACGTTTATTTTGGTATAATTTAAACCAACCTGTACTATTTATTTAGAGCAAAATATATACAATGTTTATAAAAAATCCATTATTTCTGATCAATCTCTATAATAATTTGTGAATTTTATGACTTTGTTTTCAAACTTCATTTATATTCACATATTTTCTTATTAGAAATTAGGAAACTAGAACAGAACTTTAGAAAATAAAATAAATATGAACTAGCTTTGTAGGTCTGCAGGTTGGAATGCGATTTTTGATAATCTATTTTCATTAATAAAATAATGGTAATGGATAATTTAATAAAATGATAATAATAAATTCATTAATAATAAAGTATTAGATGCTTGAAATAAGATTCATTACTATTAGATTTTGAAATGAGCTTATAGCAATAATGAAGTTTTAAATCTGGTTTTTGTTCCACAAATTTTTATTGTAATAAAAAAAAGGGAAATCAGAGATATATGGCTTACATTTGATTATTTAATTTTAACAAATATTACACTAGACTATCAGGCAAAAGAGGTAAATCTTTAGAGAATTTCTTTTGTAAAACTGACTTTTGTTTACATTAGCAGTGGAAAAAAATCTTCGACCTATACATGCAGTCCATTTTATACCAGTAGTGTGAAGTGAAATCCGAAGAGATAAATGTTTAAATCTTTGCATTTTCATGGTGTCCCTAAAAAGAGAGAGCTTCATTTTTAATATTTGCTAAAGAGCGTTTTAATCTATGATTTAAAATTTTTTAGAAAATAATTTTAGAAAATATCAATTCATCAAAAAAATTTACAGTAGTTTTAAACATTTGTAAAGAAGAATTATACGTCAATTTTCTTTCATAAGCAGATTTCGTCTAAAACCATCATTATATCAAAATGCTGAATTTTGCTGATTTGAAATGAGATGGGTGCACATATACTTTACATGAATTTTATAATTTACGTTAAGAAGAGTAATCTTACTAGTGATTACAATGTAGTAAATCTGTTTTTTATATTTCTTCCAGTGATCAACACGATTGCCTTGGAATATTTTCAAAGCAAAATTGAGAAAATTGTTTATGACAAATTTTTCAAAAAGTATCCTCTCATGCATTTTTTATTAAAAGTTTAAAATTTTTTCTTTAAAAAATAAAATATCATGAATGGAACAAAATAAATTCAAGAGAAATAACTTTGAAGTGCAATAATTCCAATGTAATATGAAATATTGGGAAAAAACGATAAAGTTCATTTATTCACAAATAATCATCTCAAATGTGTAATTTATTTACTGTGAATTGATAAATATAGATTAGTAAACTAAACCGATTATTAAAAAAAAATTTCTGAAACAATTTCTTATGGATCCTTCAGTGGCAGAGAGGTAGAGTGGATGAATACTAGCAGCTTGCTTGGGTTTGAATTCCAGCAAACAGGTTGGATTCATGGGCATTTTCATGGTTTTTGCAATGTGTAAGGTGGATACAAGCCAGCTTCCCTTAGAAAGTCCTTCATGAAAGCATCTATCCCCTTATATGGATAGTTGTATGCTTTGGCATAATCAAGTAAGTGAACCAAATATAGCCAGTCAAATCATGGAGAATGGGCTAATTACATGTGCAATTTTCCATCAGGAATGTAAATATGAACAATTTTCTCTTAAAAATGCTTCCATGAAAGCATTCATCCCCTTAAGCAGATAGCTTTTGTGCACTTTGCCATAAACCAATCCTAGTTCTTATACATTTGATAGTGCATTGGCATATACTTCATTACAAAGAAAACATTTCTTTTTTAAAGAAATTTTTTTGATTAAACAACGTATCTAAATTCCCCTTTTCTCTTGAACAATATAAGAGTTTCAGTAAATTAACACTGACCAAAATTTTATGCAAAATAACTAATGTTTCGATTAAATTTAGGAGTTACATCAGCCGTAGTGATATCTAAATACCTTTCGGGAAATGTCATCCTAAAACAGTGTCTAAAGATAAATTGGTATTATTTAATTTACAATTAATGATAATAAAAATGTCTATTATGCAGACAATTAATTGTCTCTTATTTATCTCCTAATAAATCAGACAAAATTAACTACATAATAGAAGAACTTCGAATGAAGTTAACAGAGGTTAATGGTTTTATGCACTCCAATAAACCTAAACAGGAAAGGAAGTTTATCTACTTTGTAAAAAGGGTCTTTAAAAACATTAAATGTGTTAATCTTAAACAGCGTGCAAAATAACTGAAGTTTTAACTATTAGCGTATTATATGCATACGTAGCAAATGTTATTAGCCAGATGAAAAACTTTCCATTCATTGTAACAATGGAATGCTCATTGCTTACTCGAGTTTGAAAATGGAGGTCAGGACTAGTTGCCTAAAAAAAGGGATGCCATCATGGAAGGACCCACCAAGCATAAACATCAGTTGGATTATTGGATTAAAGAAAAGTACAATATGGGCTTCTTACTAAGGACGGTGATGCTTTCGAGGAGGGCTCGGAAGAATCGACTCAAGTTCACATTTTTTATGGGAAAACCATGAAGAAGTTCACACAGCTAGCTCATTCGCCAGGACCTGAATCGAGATGTTTAAAGATGAAAATTTCAGTGTTATATATGTCTTCACACTAGGATCTTCTAAATGTAGTTTCTTTTCTTTTTTCCTTTTTCAGTAATCTGTGATGCTCATTTGGCTGTCTCTATTCAAATAAATTACTAACATTGTCTTTGATAGCTTTATCTTTTTTAAAAGATTGGTCAAAACATACTCGTACTTCATCTGCATCTGAACAGCCAGAACCAGTATCAGTGAAATTTTCCTTTTCCAGATTTCTCAGCAACTTGTTAATTTCGTCCTGACTGAAACCTTTGAAGTGAGGTGCCATTATAAGAATTAAATAGTGGAAGGAAAAAGTTAACAGTCTAAAATTATGAGACAGCGCTCTAATATTTGAGAAAGAGATAGCTTGTATTCGATTTTCAAGCATATTAGTGAGAGACAAAATCTGCAGTGTTCGTCAAAATATAGGCAGCCTCACCAGAAATTTGAAATAATGCATAGCCAGCAGCTACTATGGTGGACCAGCAGAGATGTAAAGATAGGTAATTAATCTAAAATGAGGAAGGAAATGCTGGTATGACAGTTGTATTGCAGGCAGCATTAAAGGAAATAACTTTCCTGGTACGACACTTGTACTGCCAGCTTTAAAAAGTTAATTTTGCTTTAAGAATGAATATTTTTGCATAGTTTCTTAAAATTTTGTAATTTCAATCTGGAGGAATGTTAAATTCCTTTGAAGTGAGATGATGCTGCCATCGCTACTGTTAATGAAAGAATGTTCACCTTTTTGTTTCTATTTGAGTGTGTGTGGATGCCAGAGTGTCTTTCGGAAAATATATGAAATAAAATGATAAAATGGAATTAGTTAATTTAATGAGTTACAGTCCATTTTAGTAAATTAGCTGAACCACACTCTAAAGTAATACAACTGCGCGAAAATAATAATATATTTTTAACACTTTAAAACTTATTAATTATTCATATGAAAATTCTTTTCAAGTATAAACCGTAGCAAAATTATAAATTAAAGAACATTGCACTCTACTAAATAACAAAAGAATATCATTTAATAGCATTTAAGGGAGGGGGAACCCCTATTTATTCTAATTTATTTATTAATTGACACCTTAAGGTATAATGGCATCAAACATGGCAAACTTTTATATTAAATATAGTGTTCAATTTTTGTCAGACAGAAGTCGAAATTTTTGTTTTATTTTTTATAAAAACATTTTTCTAAACGTAACTACAGGGACTACTGGATCATAAGATTAGATTTCAAATCTTATACAAATCAATTTTTTTTTTTTTTTTTTAATTTAGAAGCATGAAAACAGGAATCTTTGCATTATTTAAAAACTTTCTGCAATTGGAAGTATATGCTATACCCAACAGTCACAAAAAATTAAAGGTTGAGTAAGGAATTTTGTGGATACAATGCACATTACCTTTTTGGAATATTTGACTGCTAATAATTCTTTCTTTTTGGCAGGTTTTACAGCCTATTAAATAAGTTCTTTCTGCAGGCACTAAAATACAATGCTTTGTTGTATCTACTTAGCATTCTGAGAAACAAAGAATTTATTTCAAGCCATTATTAACATTATCCAGTATACTAACAACACTATTATAAAGCAACAAATAGAATACAACTGCTTTGGTACTCATTTCAATGATTTTAAAACTAAGATAAATTACACTTATTGTTCTTATTTTAATTTTGTTAACTTTATTTCAAATTAAAAAGGTTTTTAATTCTATAAATTTTTTATGTGAAAAAATTTACAAAAAATACTTACATCAGCAGTATAAGTATAAATATACTGCAAAACAGAAACAAAAACTTCTGGAGAAATGTCATGCAGTTCAACAACTTGTACTCTTTTTACATTGTCTTTGTATGTTTCAGAAAAATGATCACTTATCAATGCTTTGAAATAATCACATCTTCCACAAATGAAAATCTGTAATGTAAAAATACAGCAAATTATTGTTCACAGTAGTACTAATGGAAATTAAGTAAATATATATAAGCAGTGATAAAAATTTCAGACATACAATGCTAGGTGAATCAATTTTTTTTAACATAACTTTCTCTTATGACAATTCACTGTTCACATTACTTTTTTAATGCATTTAAGTCACGAGGAAATATTCTATCTGAGGCTTTAAAAACAAGTCATTGACAGCATACATGATATTATCACCATGTCCAAAATACATTCCATAAAAGCAAAAAAATACATTCCATAAAAGCTTTAAAGCAAGAAATAATCACTTGAAGTAAATATGGCAGATGAATTTAGAATCCCATAGCAATAACACTGACTTCTGTTTTAGCACAAAAGTTAGCCAACATTGCGATGATCAGACAGAGTTCTCTTGCCCTTTCACTTGGTCTTTGTTTCTTCACACAATTTTGCTATTATCTGTGCATATTTCTCTGAGATTTGATTTTCATACAGTAGGAAACAAATCATCAACAGCTGCTTAGCAGCTGAAAAAACATAGGCCATAGCTTTGGCTGCTTCTGATGGGACACTAAATTTTCTGCTCACAGGTGAAGCTACATGTTCAAGGTTTCACTGTGGCTTCTTCTTAGGATACGCATGGGTGTTTATGTTTTATACTTGGTCACATATCAATATTAAAACTCTAGATCCCACTGAAATGTGAAATGTACTGAAAAATCCTTACAGGATCAATCTTCTGTGCCTCTGTTAACATTCTGGATAACCTACCCAATAAGAGACTTTTTTTATAATGAGATATTTTCTCAAAATTGACTTTACTACCAAATGAAATACGGATAGTCTTTGCTAAATGTCTACAAGTCAATTATCTAACTGAGATCATATATATATATATATATATATATTTTGCAATATTTCCTCACTGACTGATATGGATGGACAAGCACAGCATGGATCATCTTCAAAGGAAATTTTCCAGCAAGAAATACGCTGCCCATTTAAGTGAATGTGGATTTAGGACACTACCTCACACTGCCTTACATAAATCTTTATGAATGTTTTGTATCAGTATATGCTTCAAACATAGATATTTTAACACAGTTTGAACTTATTTTTCATTCATCTTTGGAACTTCCTAAACTGCAGTTATTAAAAAAAGAATTAAAAACAATATATACACCAAATTTATCATTAACTTTCGGTAAAGTTATTTAACAATGTATAATTATCCATCTAAATCTGCCCCTTCTTACTCTTCTAAAATTTTTTATCACTCTTATAATCATGACAGAAGAATTCGAAGAGTTCAGCCTCTTAGCTTGAAACACAGATTCACATTCAGGCAATGGTGTGTGTGTATTTAATTATGGCAAAGCACACGAGGGCTATCTGCCTAAGAGGAGGGATGCCTTCGTGGAGGACTTTCTAAGGGAAACTGGCTTGTATACACGTTACACATGGGGAAAACCACGAAAACGCCCATGCAGCCAGCCCGTTCGCGGGATTCGAACCTCGGACCGAACTACCAGTGTTCAGTGTTGTTACCGCTCGGCCGCTGGTGGGCTCTCATTCAGGCAATGAAAGAATCTGCTGGTTTTAGGATCTAAAATTTTAGTTCAGAAGCTTGATTTACAAATTCATTTCAGCTGTGATTATTTAAATACCAAAAGAATATCATTAAATAGCATTTAAGGGGGGGATCTCTATTTATTCTAATTTATTTATTAATTGACTCCCTTACGGTACAATGGCACCAAACATGGCAAACTTTTATATTAAATATCTTGTTAAATTTTTGTCAGACAGGAGTCAAACTTTTTGTTTTATTTTTTTATAACAACATTTTTCTGAACGTAAGTATAGGGAACATTGGATCATAAAGTAGGTTAGATTTCAAATTTTATACAAAATCAATTTTTTTTTTTTTAAATTTGGAAGTATGAAAAGAGGAATCTTTGCATTATTTAAAACATTTCTGCAGTTGGAAGTATATGGCCCAACAGTCGCAAAAATAAAGGTTGAGTAAGGAATTTAGTGGACACAATGCATATTACCTTTCCAGAATCTATTTGATTGCTAATAATTCTTTCTTTTTGGCAGGTGTTACTACTTATTACTATTGAAGAGTCAATGTAAAAGTAAAATTAGAATCCAGACCACAATTTACAATTCTTGATAATTAAATAGATCAATATTTTGCTGTACGTACAATTTTAAAACATTAAACAAACTAAATAAGACATTTATATTAAACAGTTTCTACAACTTTAAAAAAAAAGACTATGCGAAAGAAAAGCTCTATATATTTAAAACAAAACAGCTAATCCTGTTTTTCTTTCAGAAAATAATACAATGCTATGATGAAGCCCATATAATTATTTTCACTACAAACTTACAGTTCTTGATAATTAACTGTAGCAATACTTTGCTGCATATACAGTTTTAACAATGTTACAAGAACTAAACAAGACATACATTCATATTAAGTATAGTTTCCACAACTTTTAACAACAAAAAATGAAAAGGCTCTCTATTTTTTTTTTTTTTAAAGAACTAACCCAGTTTTTTTCACTAAACATCACAGACTGCTAAGACGTAGCCCACAATAATTATTTTTAGGCTTGCCAACTTAAGATGGCTGCTGTGAGCAGCAAATTAAAGGAAAGTTTAACAAATAGCCTTGCTTATAAATACAAAATTATATAATTTCCTAAATTAATTAATTAAGTTGCAAAATATTTATATCAAAAACATTTTTATGCAAATAAATAGCCTGAACATAATACAAAACAATATGCCATCATTATAAAATATGATTTTCATTTCAACCAATACTGCAGAAACACTTTTTATTCTAATTTAGTGATTATTCCATTTTCTAGACACCAGTGGAAGCTATCAACATACACAGGGCACTAAAAAAAAGTGTTTTAATTTTTTAAATATTTTTGCGAGACATGCACTTCCATTATAAAGTTTCTTCAAATAAAGTATATGATTTTATGCAGGCAAAATTCACCACTGTAAGTGGAAGGATTCTGTAAAAATAAAATCTTAACTTTAAGTTCCCAAATCAGCAAAAACATCAATTAGTAAAATATGGATTATGCACTTAAAATTTTCTCTAAAAATCCTGCATTTAAACTAGTGACAGATAGGAAGAAAATCATTTAGGTCAGTAAATCTGTTCTTGAATTTTCTATGTATAATGTTTTGCTAGATGCATTAAAGTTTCTTGAATATTTTGCAAAGTGCAATTTTTACACTATGAGTATTGCATAAATGTTAAATATCCTCCCAGAACTCTCCTACCAAAAGTAATGTAACTGCTCTCATAAAATTTTATAACAATCATTTTCTTAAAAACTGATGCATAAAAATATTTGTTGTTTAGTGACGAACTCAAACATATAAATTACTTTCAGTGCTTTGCTTAGCATTCTAAATTGATATTCTTGAAAAACATTCCCTGTGCATTTTCCAAATTTAACATCTTAAAATGCAATTTTGCAAGATAACTGTCAGGTTGAGGTTCTGCTGTATATTGTACCAATACTAGTAACTTTGTTATTAGTTGCTTATTTGTAACAGTCTTTTATATTACTTTTTTTCTTTTTGAACTACTGAACTGGCATATGATTTAAATTTCATGTTTTCATATAACTTGTTATAATTTGAACATGATGCAAGTTTGTTGCAAGCACATTTTTTTTACATAAGAGTTGTGACATCTGTAATATGTATTACATGAACAGAATGGAAATCTCAATTCAGCACCAGCTTAAGGGCAGCTCTGCGATGAAACTAAACACAAGGTACTATAATAAAAAGGATTTTTTGAAATAACCTTAAATTTTCACCTACCTTGTGACATGTGAATATGTAACCTTTCACACTGACATGCACATCAACATACTGAGATTTGCAAACATGATCCTGGAAAAGAAATATTTTACAGTTAACAATTACATATTATGGCTATCAGGTTTTATATATAGCATTTGTTTTACAGTACTTATTTAACAATTTAACATATGTTCAAATTTTTCATTAAATTTTATATCTGTTACTCAAAAATATCATTTACCACAAAATACAAATTCTTCTCATATTCCCGTTTTTAATGCAACATTTTTTTATATAACTTTAATTCTTAGAAACAGTTTTTACTATATGAACTAACATTTTCAAAACACTATTTTTTATAAACTGAAGTTCGCACATACACTGAATCCAAGAAGGAAAAAATATTTTTTTTAACTATAAAAATGCAATTTAAGAGTCATTTATGATAGTATTTGTTTATAAAGTATAATTTTAAGTTTTAATATTTTGGCAAACATATAAATTATAAAAAGATTATAAATAAATTTATAAAGTATAATTTTAAGTTTTAATATATGGCAACATATTTAATATTTTGGCAACATTGATGTAAAAAATTGTAAAAAGAATGAGTTAAAAATGGATTCTGAAATTCTAGAAAGTTTTTTGTTATGGTTTTGTAGAATGTGGTAAGGTTTCTTATGACTAATTTTCCTTAATAAAGTTTTCTTTTTATATATTATTATAATGTGTTTTTATTAGAAGTAGATAATTCTTTAGAGAATATCATTTACATGCCAATCACAAACCAACATTTGGCAGAAGAGTGTGGTTGTCCCCTCTGTTGATGAACTTTCATATAGAACATTGATGTTGTTTAGGCTTAATAACATTGCTAATTTCTCTAAGAGATAAACTAGACTTGTATTATAATTAGTGAATATAAATTAGAAAATATGGCATATAATATGATAAATTTGAGTCACATAGAAAAATTAACTGATGATAATTACTTTATATGGGCAAACAGAATCGAAAGTAGAAGTTTGAAAATATGGAGAAGTGTGAGAGAAGCTGATGAACCACGAAAACCATATAAAACGAATGATGTTAATTTCGAAAGTGAAATAAAAAACTTGGGAAATACGAGATGATAATAACGTGATAGCAAGAAATGTAATGAATCAAACTATGACAGCTCTACAAGCGTTAAAATATGCAAATGAAAAGAATGTAAAGAAGTTATGGGAGAAAATAAAAAATGAAACGGCGGCAAAAACAGAAGATATTCAAATCAAATGTACAATAGAATTAGCTCAACTGAAAATAAGTCAAAATGAATCAGTAGATGATTATATGAATAGAGCTGTAATTCTGAAAGGTAAAAGTATTCAAGTTGGGGATGAAATAAGAGATAAAGAATTAATTTACTTCATACTAGAAGGACTTAGAAAGGAATTTGAATTTGTTGTTAAAATTATTAAAAGCAATAAAGAGAAGGATATAGCTTCAACTAGACAAACTTTAAAAGAAACAGAAGGAAAAAATTAACAAAGAGGCAAATAAATAGAAGTAAGTTCTAAGGCAAAAGAAAACTGGAGAAATCGAAATATGAGATAAAGATGCTTTAATTGTGGAAGTAATTAGGACATTTAATAATATAATAATGCCGGAATAATAATAATATAAAAGTGCTGTAACTGTGGAAAATTCAGCCACAAATCAACTGAATGTAAAATGAAAACCAAACAAGAACATCGAAAGCAAAGAAATTTAACACATAAAACTTATAGAATGTCTAAGCAAGGAAAAGAGAATATGAATCGAGCTATATGCTTATCTGAAGTATCTAATGAAAACAGAAAGCTTCATGTCTTAATCAAGATAGAAATGGCGAAATAATGGAAAGAATAAAATAGATTGAACAAGAGAATAGAAAAATTAAATAGATTATTGATTCAGGAACCACATTTCACATGGCAACTAGTAAATAAATATTTACTAATTTTAAAGATGAAGAACGGCAAATAACAAAAAAGGGGCCATGATCAAATCAGTTGATATTGGTAACATTAAAACGCAGACTGATAGAAATAAGAACATCTTGAGAGTAGAAAATGTTCTGCAAGTACTGAATTTAAGTGAAAATCTGCTGTCAGTATAAAAAATTGTAGATCATGATTTAAAAGTAATTTTTACGAAAACAGAAGCAGAAGTGATCAATAAACATGGAAACATTCTATATATAGCTAACAGAAATGGAAATAAGTTTGACGTTGAAGGAAATTTAATTGAAGAAGCTAAAATTTATAATGTTAATGATGTACTATGGCATCAGAGACTAGGTCATATAAATTATCAAAGGCTGATAGAAATGAAAAAGAAAACTCATCGGTGATTGGATTAGAAAATGTAAAAATTTCTCAAAACAATCGTGGACCTTGTACATTAGGAAAAATAACACGAACATTTTATAAAAGTGTGAAATCTAAGCAATCTGAAGATATTTTAGAATTATAGCACAAAGAGTTGGATCAATTGAGAAATCAATAGATGGAAGCTGCTATTTTTTAACAGTGGTAGATGATTACAGTAATTTCATATTTGTGATAACAATTGAGAAGAAGAGTGAACCTTCAGAAGCTCTAATCAAACTTATCATGCAAGAAGAAAGACAAACAGGAAAGAAACTAAAAAGAATTCGTAGTGATAATGGTAGTGATTTTTTAGCTAAAAGTATAAAAGAATTTTTTGAAAAAATGGGAATTAAACATGAACTTACAACCCCTTATACTCTGGAAAGTAATGGAAAAGCTGAACTTTTTAATCATACTATAATTGAATCTGCTAGAACTATGCTAATTCATGCAGAATTACTGATAAAATTTTGGTCTGAAAGCGTTAAAGTAGCTGTACATGTGAATAACAGGAGTCACAAAAATGATAAAACGTTTACACCATATGAACTATTTAATGGACACAAGCCTAACATTACTTAATTGGATAAAGAAACCAAAACAAAGTAGTAGTTCAAGGCACATTAATCAAAAATATTTCTTTCTAAAGGATGAATATGAAATGAATCAAATTCCTCAGTTTGTGTGTTCACAAACTACCCTCTACTTATAGATTTCTTTTATAAGGATATCTTACAGGGCATTTCAACTTTATAGTAACTTGACAGTCTAAAGTAAAGATTAAAACCAAGGCCCACATTTTGATGATACATGTATTTTTTTAGTATTTTATTAAAATTTTTAAGAGTATTTTTGGGACGTTATAGGGCCTTTTTTTGGCAGTTCAGAGCATTCTGAAGCATATTCTAGTAATCAAACTGAAGTATAAAATTAGCCTTGAAATAGCACTGTCTCAACTCTTAGGCAGGCATATTCTATCAAGAGAAAATTGATTATGTAATCTGTTAGTCGTATCCAGCTCACAGGCTTTTTCCATACCAGCATTACTTAGCCCTTTAGACCTTTTGTACAAGTTCAGTTCCATAGCAGAGGGGGGGGGCAATTATTCAACTGACACATTCCATACCACATGCAGTGGAAGGACCGTCACGTTTCCACTCCATTTAAAGGATTATGTCTCCTAATCATTTTTACTGGGAAGGGAGTGTGTAGCATCCTCTATGTTTCCTCTTCATCTTATCTTTAATTTCTGTACATTTTAATTTTCATAACATTGCAACATAGTATTGTTGCCCAGCAACAAATGGTAGATTTTTTTTTTAATTTGATTTTTTGATGAAAAATAAATGAGTTGTGTTCTTTTTTTTTAAGTCATCATGTCATCTAATTTTATTCCTTTAGAGAGTTAAAATTTTATTACAGGTAAAAAGATTAACATAAAATAACCACTTCAATGGCTTCTATGCAAATTACATTTTCTTTTGCAGAAGAAATTTTGTTTCACGAGTTTCTGTTCTCATACACAAAACTTTTGATTGATAGCTTTTAAGTATTTACCAGTTTTGGCATGAAAATTGCCCTCAGGTCAGCAGATAGTATGGCTGGATTTGAGGTTTTTATTTATGACCCTCACATTGTAACATCTTTTTCTAACAATGGCTGCTTCCCCACTTCTAATTAAGTGCACAAGATGGGCAAATGACAGTATGAAATATTACGCTCCCAATAAATTCAAGAAGGAAAATGAGAGGCAGAAAAAATCATTTGCAATGATTTCAGATCTATCAACAGCTGACAGAATTTTCCATGTGTAGCAACTGGAAAAGCCATCTTTCATTACAGAATAATACATCCTTAACCATTTAACTGTCAAGTTATTTTGATGATTTGCGTACATAAATTGTCAATTTTTTTTATTGCAAATATTAAATGTTTAGTATAAAATAAAATATACTTAGTAGTTAAAAAATGATATTTTGAATTACACGCATATAGAATTTTAAGGTTTTTTTAGCCACTGCATAATTGCTTGAGGTGGCTGCCACTCAGTGTGACAGTGGTAAAGTTCGCTTCTAGTGGAGCATTAGTTCCTAAAAATTAAAATAATAATAATAATTTAATTATTTTCTAAAAAATTAGTAAAAATAAGTACCTATTAGTTCAGTATTTCAGTTTTGTGTGGTATAACTGGAAACACTTTTCCAAGCACAAACAAACTCGATGCTCAGTACACCAGAATCATGTTCCTTTCCTTATCTTTTTCCCATTTTCATCCTTTTTTGAACAACAAACTTTGCACTGTCTTGTACGCTCACATTTTGCAAGAGTAGGAGGAATATGGGATGAAGAATCTAAATCATCTATATAATGTTTCTAAGAACTGGACGCCATTTTGCAACAAAAAATACTGCGCCCTTTGAACATAAACCTCTATCCTTTAAAACCTTCCCTAAAGTGCTGCTATCTATTGAATTGAAGCTGAAATAAACTTCTCATGATATATATTCAAGTATAACAATATGATGCAGTTAAAAAAAATTACCCAGAGTCATCCTCGAGCATGACATTTTGGAACACCAGTGCTGTGTCCCTGATTATTTCAGGCATGACACTTAAAAGGTTAATGCTGAGAGGGTTAAAAATAATACATGCTGGGAGTGACAGAAATGCTGCAAATTAGTGAATAAAATTTTCATTAAGTAACCAATCAGACTTAGATTTAACAAGGATTTGATTTACTACTTTTTCTGGAAAATGCAATTGTTATTGTTTAATACAATTTAATCACTCTTGTTTCTAAAAGTCAAATAATGGTATCATGACATCCAAAAGGATGGCAAGTGCTTCACACAAGTATCTTTCCATGCCTACTTTGTAATTCAGGTCTATATTTCAGTGACCGAAGAGCCTACACAATACTTTAGAGTATGTCAAATATTATTTGATAGAATCCTTAAGATAGACAGCTGTCAGGCATTTAGAAACAGGGAAGACAACTGCAGAATGGATATAATGACAGCAAATTTTAAAATAAACAGGCTTGTTCCGAGTAAACATTTCAAAACTTAAAACAGAAGCTAAGACGAGGTCTTGCCAGTCAAAATAGGAACTTAATTGCTCAGCAGCTGAATTAAAAGCCAAAATAGTTGCTGGAACAGTTGCAGGTACAACAGCAAACTGTAAAAAGAATGCCTTATTAGAAAAGCTTTTATGCCATAAAGCGAGTGACTTGAGACCACAAAGACAGTGACTCAAATGACATTTTTGCAGTTGATCTTCTGTGTGGTGGAAAAAAAAAGCAGGACAACAAGTCCATCATGCAAGCACCCCTATTCCATAAGTGCACTGTCTTTTGTTGCTTTTCCATAATGAAAAATTCAAATCTATTTGTGTATCCATGAAAATTGTAATCCTGCACTGCTGCTTATGTTATGTGTTTTATTTCTACCTGAAAAGGATGAAAATAATTTTTGCAAATGCCTTTCACTTTCAAAATAGTTCTTTTACGTATCTACCGAAAAATGTACAATATTTAATAAATGATTGGATCATAATTTACATCATCTTTACTAACTCGAATACATGCAGAATTTAGGCAGAATGTTTCTGGATGGAAAACAGTAACATTTTAGGCGATCATTCCTTCATATTATTTAACAATTTGCTATACACAATAGATACCCAGTTTGTGCACGTCATATTTCACTATAATTTTAAATTACGATCCTGATTATAGTAATATAACAGATACTGTCACGTGCATATAACTTCCTGTTTATATAATTATCTGCCTCAATTACAAGTACATTCTAATTGTAAATAAAATGCAATTATAATTATAGGAAGATAATTACACTTCAAGTGTCATAACAATGGAATTCAATGCTTTGTAATTGTGTGATTTAATTTGAATATTACCTAAAGCCATTGTAATTACTACATTTAAAGTATAATCTAATAACAATTACAAAGCAGCTGTAGTTATCTAATGATCTAATTACCACTAGAATGTAATTGAATTTTCCCCACCTATGAGTACAATTTCATAAAATAGCAAACGATTCCCTTAACTGATCACATGACTTTCCTTAGAAATAGCTTGTAATACCTTACTTTGAAGCTATATTTACTGTTCTTTAGTCTTCCCTCTTATTGATTTCTATATATGTACTTCTACGGACTTTATAATATTGCATATAGTAATGGAAAATAAAATAAAATAATAGGAAATAGTTTTCCTTTTCTCATGAAAAGAATGGGCATAATGTTAATTATTAATAAAAACAATATATATTACCACAACCAGAAATTTCTCAGGTAGAGTAGACAAAAATAATGTATGGAAATCTTGGCTTAATGAAGAATACTGCTTTGGTTCAACAGAGATAGCTTGCAAGTTTTTTCCTGCATATAAAAACAACTATATTGAACAAGACCCTAAATGCAAAACAATACATTTTAAATAATGTGTAAATAGAGCAATAATTTCTAAGAACAGCAGCATACACCTAAATACAAAGTTAATTTTCCCCTGCACTTTTACTGTCATATGATAATCATTATCAGCAGCAAGCATTGAATAAATTTAGCATGCTTTCCATGAGCCCAAAATCTATGGATCCATCAATGGTCAAACAAACCAAAAGCTTTATGGAACATCACATAAAATCTGACAGTAAGAACATGGAAGTAAGAACAGTTAGATGAATTTGTGTTTTTTTTATTACAAAAAAACACCAGAGTTTAGACCAACGAAGGCCAACCTACGCCCAATGTGCTAAAAGTAGCATATACTGCATTAGAAGTGGCTCAATAAACTCCATAAATAAATAACAGACAGGAATTTCTGTCTGCCATTACTGTTTTAAAAGTTCTATTTTTAAACAGTACTTTTAATTTATGTTTTTTGCTGGCAGATAAGAGTAAGATAAGTCGTAGATAAGTTGTTTAGAAATAGTGATAATGGCAAGCAAATGAAACAGTTTATATTTGATTTAAAAAATAAAGATATGGATTACTTATATTTGTAGTTCTTTTTCTTAATTAGGCATTTCCATCATATTAAAAAAATTAACATATTTTTCAAATAACCCTCTATTTTCACTAGTTGTAATTTTCTTGTTTTCACAGTCAGATTTCAGTGTTGATCACCTAAACATTTGTTTTCTGTACTATACATTTTTTGCTTTTAATTAAAACCAAATGGAAAAATACACAATATTAATTATGTAAAAAATGAACAATAGTCTTATCACAAATGACTAAATTGACTAAATACATACTAATTAACAATGCTACTTCTATAGGCAGCTTATTGTGACCATTAGTGTTTCTCAGTTTAATGCAGCTGCATGAGTATTTTGCTGCCTTGACAATGATACATTTGACACCCCTTTATTTCTTCTATCAGAAAGAGAAACGGCTCACTTATTTTCTTACAATGAATGCCATGAAGGATCTACTAGTCTGAAGTTATGGCTGTCATAAGGAAATTTTTCCCTCCTAGCTTGATGATACTTCCTTGTTTCCCTTACTGCAAAACGATGGTGCCTTACTTTCTGCTTCTTTTTTTCCCAATGTCATTATTTTCCACAACCTTCATAATCAGCTTACACATACCGCTTTGTATAAGCTAAGTAACTATAAACAATTTTCCCCCTTTGCTTACCATCAAAGCAGTCAAGTTTCATGAAGCACTTAAATGCCTGAATGATCGGAAGTCTGAATTTAATGTGGGTGAAAACTAACTGAGATGGGAGACAGACTTTGGCTGATAGGTCAGGATCTTGTTCTAGAAGTTTAAACAGCTTTCAGGATTAAAATAGTTAAAATTTACCAACAACAAGCATGCTAAAATTTCATAACAAGCTTTTTATAATTTTTTTTTTTTTTTTTAAATTAGGTCAGGACAGAGATAAGTGGATTAAAAAAATAGGATATTAAGACTGTTCATATTATTTCCTCTAAGATTAGGATTAAGAAACATTTTTCAATGGGATCTGTAATTTTTAAAATTTCAAATCTGCTTTAATTTTAGTGAACAAGTCAGTCAGATGAATTCTGCTAAGATCTTGTTTGAGTTTGGTAATGTTCTTCATTGTTTCCAAAATCTCAGTTTTGTTTTGTAAGTAATTAGATGGCATAAGGTGATAGTGAAAAGTTTGATACTGCATGGAATATTTTACTATTATTCAGTTTTTGATACAAGTTTAGTATTATCACTTTAAAATGTGGCAACTTGGGCAAACCAGTTCCATTTTCAGACCTTTAAGGTTTAAGAGATATTTGAGAGTTATTACCACAAAACTTAATGCAAAAATATAATGAAGTTTGATACCTATAAAAGTAGTCCACAGTATTAGGATATGAATTTTTGATTTTACCTTCGCCTTTGGGCTATTAATCAATTTTGTGAGCACTAGCAGTTGGGTTTGAGAAACACAATTGAGGAGAAATGGAAATTGTCTAATGAGTAATCATCCATGAAAAAAAAAATTTTTTTTAGTTTATATCATAGCATGTAATCTTCAGTTCTGTAAATCTAATTAATAATTTCACAACAAAGTATTCAAAAAAGAAAATTTTGTAACATTTTTGTATTTAGCAACATGTAGCACTTTGCGACTGTGATATCTCATTCTTTTGATGAATTTGCAGTAACATTTTTCTTGCGTGTTGAAGGGCAAGCCTTTAATGACAACATGAACTGGTTTCAAATATTTGGAAGTAATAAAATGTTCAGCTTTACAGACCTTCAGGTAATTGCAACTAGGGCAGCCAAAAAATTTAGCATGAATATTTTTTGTGAAGGTACTCATAAAATTCACATAATTCATGCATTCATGAGATTTAACCATAAGGATAAAAATCCTAGTATACTGTGGCAGCAAAGATTGCATATCTTCATTAATAACCTGAACAGAATGATCATGTCATTCAATCACAGGCACAAACTTATTTGGGGTAACAATGAGAGGTACAATATAATTCAATTTAATAATTTCAGAAGTCTTTGCTAATTGCTTAAACCATCATTTTTATTATGTGGGAGATAGAAATGTTGTGAGTCAAGTCTGATTTATGGGCAGGATTTGAAATGAAAAATTAGTTATTACAATTACAAAATGCTTGCAAAGTAAAAAAAAAAAAAAAAAAAAAAAAACAAGTTTGATGGGAAAAGCGTTTTTCTAACACAACTCAAAGAGATGCCTAAGCCATTTTCCAGATTTTGTTTAAAAGGGTATATTGTGTTTCTTCACAGTGATAAAGTTGAGTAACTTTACTTTTTATTGTGAGAAGGTTGAGTATTTAAAACTTTTATGTAATTTTTTGGTTTAGTTTATTACAGCAAAGCACACTAGGGCTACCTGCCTAAGGGAAGGGATGCCTTCATGAAGAACTGACTTATATACCCATTACACATGGGGAAAATCATGAGAATACCCATACGACCAGCCCATTAAGCTTGCAACCCCAGACCGAGTTTCAGTGTCAGTGTTCAAAAGTTACATTCACATGATGTTCATTATTTCATATACACATGTTTTAAGAACATTTAACATTGATTTTTTTCATATCTACATCTGTTTATTTCTAGTAATGCTAAATTCTTGTTATAAACACTTGTGCCACAATTATGCTCTTGGAAGGCTAACAGCTCATATTTATAATTTAATCTTTTCATTCCTAACGAACTTCTTGTGAATTAGAAAACTTAGAAATGCTGAATTTGCTCTTATTCTTTCTATGTTTCTTTCTATCTTAATCTGCTTAGTAAGCATTGCAACATTCTTATTTACAGCTTTATCAACAAAATGCCTGTTGAACAAAAATAGCTACACTTTTGTGTAAAATAGTTATTTCCTTTCTATATGTAAAATCCATATGAATTTTACATAAATTTTTATTGCTACAATGAAGATTTAAATGATCTAAAATTATTTATCAATATAAAAATGATTTAAAAGTAGTACAATCATTTGTAATTAAATACTAAAAAGCAAAAAGGTTTCAGTAAGAATATGTAAGGCTCTCATTTTACATTAAGATTTTATTTTTCTGGTTTCACTTAAACACCTAACACCCTTAAAATGTTATGCAGAAATGTAGCACCAAGTTTGACAGAAAAAAATATATCTCATTGGCATTGGCATGTTTGTGAAAGATGGTGCAACCTTTAACATAGTAGCAACTGGGAAGCAGTTCCTCATAATGGTATTTGATCCCCAGTGATTGATTAGTTGCTCATAATGCACTGACTGACTTCTTCAATTGCCACACTTAATACATATGGATTTTTTAGCTATGCATCTATTTGAAGTCCCATCAGAGGGCTACACCCTTACATATTCTTACTGAAACCTTTTTGCTTTTTAGTATTTAATTACAAATGATTTTACTACTTTTAAATCATTTTTATATTGATAAAAATTTTTAAATAATTTTAGATCATTTAAATCTTCACTGTAGTAATAAAAATTTATGTAAAATTCATATGGATAGATAGAAAGGAAATACCTATTTTACACAAAAGTGTAGCTACTTTTGTTCAACAGGCATTTTGTTGATAAAGCTGTAAATAAGACCCATCATTCTTAACATAATTAGAAGATGCTATCTATGATGAATTTGCAGCCAAAGACAGCATTGCTTAATGTATAAATGCATGGTATTTGCAGAACATGATTTCTGTGGTTGGGGACACAAAAAACACTTGGTAGAGAGAAACACTGGGTAATGAATTAAGTACAGTGGAACCTCGAGATTATGAGCACCTATATATACGAGAAATCCGACATACGAGGACAGTATGAGCGAAAAATTTGTCTCTAAATATCGGCATTGATTCGAGTAACGAGCAATTAGCCAGGCTGTTGGTATGCGTAGTGACATTTCCCAATCCAGCTCGACTCAGAGAATCTCCTCGTCAGATCACTCGGTGTTTTTTTATCTACGTGTTTGTGCTCTCATGAGTCAATTGTTTATTACGTGAAAATAATTATTTCACGATGCCTCCCAAGAAGATTGTTGCCTCAGATAGTGCTGAAAAGAAAAATAAGGAAGCCATGGCCGTTGAAATTAAAAAAGAAATCATACATAAACAAGCTTAGTTTAAGAGTGACGGAATTGGCAGAAACTTACAGCTTTTCGACATTGACAATTTGCACTATTCTGAAGAAGAAGGAAGAAATTAAGAAACTTGATGTAGCCAAAGGAGTTTCCGTTACTCCCAAGCACTGTCCAAAACTCCTAAAAGATGCTGAAAAGTTGTTGTAGGTGTGGATTAACAAGAAGCAGTTAAAAGGTCGGCATCTGAAGCTATCATAAAGGTAAACTACGGTTATATTATTTAGCAACATTATTTATCATAAAAATTAATTTTTATGTTGATATTTTTAGGGGTGCAGAATAGATTAACTGAATTTCCATTATTTTCAGTAGGGAAGTTTGTTTCTACATATGAGAAATTCACTATAAGAGCTCAATGTTGGAATGAATTAAACTTGTATCTTGAGGTTCTACTGTATATTGCATTTATACAAGCTTTTTCTCAGTACATGTTATCCAAAGAATAGGATGACAGTATGGCACTTTTCTATTGTCAGCAAAATTTTAAAATTTGTTTTGATTATTATTGCCAAAAGTCTGAGTTCATGGCAAAAATTTTAGTCCACACCATATTTTCATTTTATGAATTAAAAAAATGCTCTAGTGACTATTGGTGCACCCCACTGTAGTGTTAATGTGGTTCAGCATTAGGGTTGCTTGTCTGCAGCTACTATGAACCTTATGACTTTTACAAAAATGTTTTGAAGAATTTGTTCTGAACTGAAACAGTCAATGAAATATGTTTTCTATTTAAATATTTAATCTCAGGACATGAAAATATGTCTTAATGTCAGTTTTAAAGTTTTTTAAGTTTTAGACTAAATACTTAGATTTTATTGAATACTGCTAGGAGCAGGTTTATGTGCTTTATGTTTTGTACTGTCTTATCAAAATTTTAAACAAATTATTCAAAAAGTTTCCTTTGTTATTTTCTGTACCCACTGAATGCAGATAAGATAGCTTGTTATTCTAGTATCAGGTCAATTAAATAGTTATTAAGGTACATGCATATCAATAAAAAAGCCATTGACTTCAAGTATAGCTAGTGTAATTAAATCAGGGTTATTTGATAAATTTGTTTTTTGTTTGAGAACAAATTTTTGCCAATCATCCGATTCAAGTTGGTTTTCCTATTAATAATAAAGAATAACAGTCTTAATAATATACATTTTAGCATATCTAATAACCAGACACATAATGTGTAGTTACAATCAGACAATAACTTCAATAATATAAATTGTAAACTAAATCTTAAATACTAAAAGCAAAAAAATAATTTCTAAAGATATGACCTACGTTTTTTCAGCAATTTTTCAATTTCATTGCCAAGGTAGCTGCAGCCTATGTGATTTGCCAAAAAGATAAAATCGTCTTTATCTCTGATATTTAGTTCAACTTCACCTACAACAAAATAAATTAATAAATAAACAAAATCATATAAAAAGTAACTTCAGAAGATATTAAAAAGTAGCAACACAACAGAAATAATTAAACCAAGTATTACTTTTCAGAAATCCTAAAACCATGAGAATATTCCTTAATACAAAAGCGGATTATTTTGAGTAAAAACAAAGGCAGCAGAAAAAATAAGAGAAATGGAATATAAAACTTTGAAGATAGCAGAAGAGGGAAATCAGATCCTTGGATTCCATTTCCGAAAACGTTTGCACTTAAAAGTAGGATGGAGCTCAGATAAACAGTCCTCATGTGCTTTGCAAAGATTAATTCAATGGCATATGAATAAAAACTTTACTGCAATGCAAACTATTAAAAAAAACAAACAAACATAACACTGTAGTCACAGACATTTTCACACTTTTATGTGCGTTATTAGGCATATTAAATTCAGAAACAGGAAGGAAAACTTAAGTCTCTTCAAAAGAAAAAAAATGCAATCTTACCCTTATTTTCAGGGAAGGAGAAATATGGACCTTTAAATACAAAGCTACAGACATTTTAACACAATTTGTAATCAGTATTGATGCAATATCTAAAATCCCCACTTTAAAATGTTGAGTATCCAGTATTAATTGACTACGCTCTTGGCACCTACATTTGTGGTTTACTTTAGTTTATTGTACACATCTCTCAGGTGAATCACAATATTGGAATTATTGATTGTTGAATATATTGAAGATAAGTGCAGGATATTCAAAGGCTGTTCGCACATTTTTTAGGTGACTCTGCTTTGCTATAAAAATCACGTGTTTAGAAAAATTTTTTAACTGCAACTATATTTTTGTAAACGTAAATTATCGTTCACTACTAGGCAATTTTTATTTCATGCAAAATAGCACTTATAAAGAAGCAATTGAGGAAGGTTATGTTCATGCTCTTTATGAAGAAAACAATTCTTACTTAGTTACAAAAAATGCTGTGAAAGCTATGATTTTTCCATATCTAAAGCAATGATAGATAATATTATGAACAAGGAAAGAAGCATCAGAGTTTGAGTTCAAGGTGAAAAACTGTTCAAATTACATATTTAAAGGAAAAACGGAATGTTTCAAATGTTGCAAAGGTAAGAACTTTAATGTTAAAAGGCAATTTGCGAAGTAAGTTTTATAATCATTAAAATGCTCAGTGTCAACTGTAAACAAAGGGATTAAATAAGATACAGGAATAATGTTGATTAAAGGGATTAATGCTGATTTGAACAATAAAATGGCCAAAAAAGTAATATGTATCAACATTATCCCCAACATACACCTGAAAGCAAAATGCACTACAGAATTCTCTATGAGAAACAATTATTCAAACAAAAATGGGAAAACATTGTCACAGCAGATGAATCTTGGATATATTTAAATTACCAAAATAAAAAGAGATCCATTTATATCATCAAAGAGAAGAATAAAGATAGTTCAAAGAATCTACAGAAAGTTTTTTAAAGGGATTTATTATATAATGGCAAATAAAAATTAAAGAGAGCGCAGAAAACTGTTCACGTCAAATCCACATATTATCAGGAACATATTTTATATCCACTTTTCAAATATGAAATACATTCTCTTTACCCACACACCCATCAATCAGTAGAACTGCATCAAGACAAAGCAAGGAGTTGCATGTCAAAATCCACTATTAACTTCCTGGAAAAAATGGTACAAGAAACGTGTGTCAAGGCCAAACCCTTCACTCATATCTCTAGTAAATTTCCTGAGGTATTATATACGAATTTTTGCGCTTTTGGACTTTTAGAAAGTGAATTGTCTAAACATCGACTTACAATCCCACTTGGACTTTGGAAAGCTGTTCAAGAGGAATTGGATAAAATACCTCTTTAGATACTAAAAAAGGTTTTATTTTCTTGGAAATTATGGAGTAGAAAAACAGTGAAGAATAAGGGATATCAAATGAACATTCAAAAACCAGAAATTTTAAGTAAAATACTTTTGTAAACACAATGAAAAATCATCTAAAAAATGTGCCAACAGCCTCTGTACATAAAAATTAATTATCAAATGGTTTTCAATGCAGTATAAAAATGTTATAACTACACATATTGTTTATGAGTTAAAAATAAAAATTAAAACCATAAGAATCGGAGAATTTTTGTCTTTGGAAATAATATATCCATAAAATAACAGTCCTGACTATATATTGTGCAGTAAAAAACACAGTGTGATAGCTTCAAAAGGAAAAGAAAAATGATTTTTTGGAGGAGAAGCAAGGTCAAATCAAGAAAAATGATATAAGGTAAGCACGAAAAAATTTACTACACCATTTGACATAAATTACCATAATTTTATTTTTGCTCGCTACATAAAAATTATTAATTAAAATTAAAAAATACATTACATACAAATGCTTAGTTACAAATTGTTGTAATCATAACAAAATAAATTGCCAAAAATATATGTATAAAATTAGAAAACTAGAACTGTTTTTGTAAAAATTATCTATCTATCTATCTATCTATATATTAAAAAAAAACTTGAAGGCCAGCAAGTGCACAGTAAATTTCAATATTTTAAATATATGAGGTAATAAGCATTTTTATGACAAAAAGTACGCAAAGACTATGAACGATTTGGGGGGGGGATTTTGTTAAAGCTTTACAAGGAGGCAAAAATCACAAACATATTGTATTCAAATCTAAATTCTCATGAAAGCACCAGAACTAGAAAACATATTCATTTGGTCCTGGCTAATTTAAACAGAAAAACTGACCTGAACTTAAAATGGAAAGATATATTCAATAATATACTTTCATATACGAATTTATTATAGTAGGGTCCTGCAAATTCAACTTAATGTGGACTGAGTTACTGAAAATGTTGACTTTTACAGAAGAAGGGCTGGGTTATTCACAGCTCATAACATTTCATCCAATACCTGAATCCATGGCAATTTTTTTAATACTTCAGCCAATCTGTTACTGAGAGAAGGAATGGGGTAGATTGGAATTTCCAAGAAAAGAAGAAAATCTGTCATGAAATTCATTATACAGGTTGCAAGATATATCACAAAGACACAAAAATTGCAAAATTAAGATATCATATCAAATCTTTGAACTAAAGAGGAAAACATAGGATAGGCAAACACATAAATATGTACTTACAATAATACAGTAATTAAAATGTACTTATACTGTTTGCACTTACAGTCTACCTATTAAAAAAAAAAACCACAATATTATTTCAAAGATAATGTCCTGCTTGACTAGTAGATTTTAGCTATTAAAAAAACAAGTGATCATCAACTTATATGCAATGTCGTGCAATTGGGAATCATGTTTGTGGGGCTCTATTTTTAATTCACTAGGCAGACGTCCTTAAATACATTGAAAACACTATTAATCTGATGTATAATATTAAACACTAATGGTTTATTTGATTATGGCAAAGCATTTAAAGTTTATCTGGCCTAAGAGGAGGGATGCCTTTGTGGAGGACTTTCTAAGAGAAACTGGCTCATGTACATGTTACATGTGGGGAAATCCAAGAAAAACACCTATGCAGCCTGTTTGCCGGGATTCGAACTTCGGTCCGAACTACCAGTGTTCGGCGACTTTACCACTCGGCCACAGATGGGCCTTTAAACAGTCATAATGTGACTTCTTAGTATCATAAGCCAGATTAAAAGTAATACACATTTTTGATAAAGAATAAATAAAGCCTGTATAAATTTCTTTTTAAATAAGGTTAGCAAGTCATGCAGACTAATATTTATTACTTACAGTATTCCTAAATTTTATCATATAGCTACTTAAAAGCTATTAACGGCAAAGGAATTGAAAAAAATCTATTTTTAAGGATGCAGCTAAAAAATTTCAGAATGTTGGTATTAAACATGCAAAAAAACAAAAGATTCTAAATCACACAGATTTGAATGCATGCTGCTTTATTTGAACAACAAAACAGAAATGATAATTTTCCACCTCAGTTTGAAAACAACATTTTATCTCAAAATCAAATGCTGTTTTCAAAAATTAATTAAAACAAGTGTTAATAACCAACACTTACAAGTTACTTAATTAAAAGGTTAAAAAAAACTCAAATTTGCTATATTTTTAGAGGGTAAAAACAAAATAGTATGCCAAAAATCTGAATAACTAAGCTCAATTACTTGCTTTTTATAATTACATGATTATTTTCAAAAGAAAAATAAAACCCATCTATTAAGACTGTATATTCTCTTATGAATATGTTTAGTTTTAGTCCTCTTTGAGCAGATTATTTAATTCTTAAATTTTGAAAAAACTAATTTTTATTAATTGAAAATTATTATTATTATAATTATTAATTGAAAATTAGGTAATCAACTAATTAAAATAACAAAGCTATAAACAAATAATTTTGGCTGGTTCAACATCATCTATTTTAAAGACTTTGTTTCTTGGGTCATTAATTATTTTTAACAGTGCATGAACATACGCAGATACAGATTTTAAATTTTTAGATATTTAGTTTTAAATTGCCCTCAAACATAAACAAATATCAGCATATATACTTCTTCAATGGCCAGACAGCCCAGGATGGGCCCTAGCCTTCCTCAGAATCGAATTCCAAGCTCTTCTCTCCCTGGCCATGGACATCCAATTGGTTATCTTTAAAATTCTTAAGTCTGTTTCCAAACAGTCGAGCCACCTAAGCTTAGGTTTCCCTCTTTTTCGGGTGCTGAATGGTCTGGCTGAGAAGATCTTTTTCAGCTACTCGAATTTTCATCCATTCTGCAGAGGTGTCCTGCCCATTTTAATTCCTCTGAATCCTTACATATTTTACTATATCTATTTCTTTAAAGCATTTATAGAGTTCAGAGTTAGTTCTTCTCCAGATATTGTTACATTTTATGCCACCAAAAATACTTCTCAAAAATTTTCTTTGAAAGACAGAAATAATACTTTTAGCTTTTTCTGTCATCGCCCAGGTCTCAGCAGAGTATGTAAGAATAGTCTG